AGTTCAGTATACACCATCTGAATTGTTTTTTTTTTTTTGGTAGAACGTGTGGCTCGAGGCCACTGGCTTCTGGTAACTGACAAGGTCAATCCAGGTTGGCCCGTTAGGATGCCGGGAATTACACCCAGCGATACAGGAATTTCAACCTGTCAGGAGGGAATGCATTTACGCAGACCTAGATTTCTAGGTACTGTGGGACTCGACTGACACGCAATACCCACTAAAACCTCCTGGTGGTTTATTGCAGGATTCAAACCTGCGACCCTCTGAACAAGGCTGGCAATGGTACCACTACGCCATGCAGCCCCTACATCTGAATTGTTGTACCTACAGCGCATCTGTGATTGCTGCCAACTAGATGTCGCCAGTCTCACTCACTGTGCTGGTGTAGAGACTCATGCCTCTCATGGCGTGATATGGCAGTTTCCACCAAGGAGTACATAGCACAAACTTGTAGCATCACTCCGTGCGCTACCCGCAGCTATCCCTATATGAGGCGCAGCTTTCCCATGCTTCGCGATGTATATGCGTGCACGCATTCCCGCGCTTGAGTGCCCTATAGTGCCAGCCATCCAGATGCATCCATCCACTGTCCTCCAAGTTCTCTAGTGCGTATATTTCTGTTTCTCTCATTTGTATATTGTTCCACCTTATTTTTATCATGGACCCTTACTTATATATATCTTTACATACCTTACTTGGTAGCGCTTCGGCTCCGCATTACAGTGCTTAGGCACGCTATATAAGCGCCAGCAGTACATACTACTCCAGACTTACCTTTTTACCACTGAACTTCACCTCTCACTCTACCTAGCACTTACTACTTAGTAGAACATAGTAGAAATCTATTCCTCTACACTTCGCATCACTCTTCACTTATCTTGCATTATATTATCACTTAAGCTTAGTCTCTCTATCATTTCTGCACGTGTGCACATGCTTTCCCGCGCTTCGCGCTAATACACGTGTGTTCCCGCGCCTCGCTTCAACGCATACCTCTAGATCTTTGCTGCACTCGCTTCCCCTTTAGGGTCGAACGCACTTGTCTCCTCAGGTAACGCAGACTAGGCAACATGCGACCTTACAATATTTTTTAGATACAGTCAGGAGCATCATTTGTTCCTCACAGTATTGTTGTTTCTACACCGGATCCTTCCAGTTACATCACAAATGTTAGTGGACAACACCCACCTTAGGGCTCCACATAACAAACCTATTTGAGTGTATAACACTTTGTGACTTAGCCTACTTTGCCAGAATTCAACTTTGACATATTCAAAAAAAGTTGTTCAGTCATATAATAATATTAATATACATGTTTTGTTACAGGCTGCACTAAAAAATACAAGATTTACTAGGTGGGTGATGCATGAGAGAGGAAACAAATGTGGGTAAGTTAATTAAGTAAGATTAAGCAAGTTGGGGTTTTCCTGATGTGGATTCCCTGTGCATTGTCAGGATTATATTTGTGATATGTTACATGTACATGTTTGTGATGCTGGTTGTACAAATCTACTAGTTTTTAAACTTTATACCAGTCACTTACACTGCAGCAGGAGCAGCCTTTTTGAGCATATGAAAGGCATCAGAAAGGCATGAAAAACGGACAAATTTATAATGCCTTTCAGGACAATGGATGTAAACCTTAATTTTATAAAATTTGAGAGCTATTGCATGGCTGAAAATTTTAACTTCTGTGGTGTTACAAGTCCCTACAAGTGTTTTATATTCCTAGACATTTACTACAACCAGTAAGATATAATCAAGAACCAGCTGAATGATGCATGGATGATGGGCTTTTTTGTGCAGTTGCATTATGGTAGCAGGGTAGGATATGTGAGACTAGTAAGGTTTGATTTCACTCAACATGAAATTTTGACATTCATAACAATCCTTACAACAAAAAATATGTTTTCAAAAACAAACACTGCTGGAGGTCAGAAGGATTCAAAATCTGCAACATATTCTATCTTTTGAATGGATGGATAATGGTTTCAGATTTACAAGGAATTTATCTTATGCAAGATTGCTTTCCAACTGGCAGTCTAATGGAACACAAAATCCTTGAAACTTTTTATTCATATAGGTTAAAATACACATGCAGAAAAGGACTGGCAGAAGGCTTTGAAATATTTGATACTGACAGGTAACTGAAAGGCTGCCTTTAAATGATGTGAATTAAAAAAATTTCCAACTAGTGTCTCAATTAAACAAGCTCTGTAATAAACCTTAACAATTCACGAGACGACCCAGTAGAAATTATTTGGGGACATAATGACCTACACATGTTGTGAGTGAAGCCTCAGACTTTTTATTAGAAAGATACATTAGAAGTATTAAGATTCAAAATGATATCAATTTGTTGGTCTTTTGTATGCAAGCGGATGATAAATCACCACCTTGCAATATCCAAGAATGTCTGCATTGAGTAAAGGCTAGGCTTATTTGAATTATTATCAGCAGAGTGAAAGGCTAACATATACACTATGTACAAAGCATGCTATTATCTATCCCTAGGATGAGCAATTAAAGGATACAGTATCTATCATTGCAACCTGCTCAAGAAAACAAGAGCCTTTTATTTGCCCTTGCCATTGTCAAAAACTGTTGCTGGTGAAAGGGTAAGAAAAGGCTGAGGACCCCAGATACTTCCTACCAGAAAAACTAACTCAGATCAATGACACTGACTATGTCCTTCATCGTGACCACATCTTCGCATTTTCTTGCTCACTAGCAATAGGATTTAATACTATTGTTCTGCATAAGTAATGATATTCAACAGAATAAGGCAGTATCCACCCAATTTTTGTTCACTCTAATGGATTTTCATATCTTTGGTTGTGAACTGTTCGATTTGGCTGTGCATCGCACATTCAAGAAAGAAGTCGCTTTTCACACCTCTGTTTATATTGCAAATAAGTCTCAGGTTGGACACCTTGTTGAATGTGCTTGGTGGCAGTGGCCTAATGGTGTGGATGTCCAATGCTGCAACAAACTTGCAAAATATGTAGCAAATCGGCCATGCAAGGGAAAGGATGTGGCAATTTTCCGGTGCCAGGAAAAGACACATCCAAAGGGTGTGACACATGTTCAGTGTATTGAGACATTGCTCAATGCTGATGGGGTGAGGAAAATTTATGGGAAATGTGGGGACTTCCAGTACATGTTTGAGTTTGTATGACAAGCTCTGTTAAATGTTTGCTGTATTTCAAAGCACAATATCCTGGAGGTGTAATCCCCGACTCCCACATGAATGTATTCCTATATATGCTGGTACATTGAGCACTGCATGCGGTTTATGAAACTGTACCCAGAGTTTTAGGAATGATGAAAGCAGAAATAACACATTATTTACCAATAAGATCATCTGAATTCCCAGAGTTCCTGCATAATCATATTAGAGATCATGAATGTACAGTGGCTCAAAAAAGTGTCCCAATGTTTGTAGCTTTTCATGTAATTGCTATATCATGTGTTGAGACGTGGGAATATGACTAAGCTATAGGGAGATGTCGGAAAGGTCTGCATCTCAGCTTCATTTCGGTTCCCTATACCGTGGGAAACTAATGACATTATGTGAAGATATGAGTATTTTAATTTGATGACTCATTGGGACACTTTTTTGACTTTGAGTTTTACTAATGTAATCTCTATAATTCTAGTACTGTGTGTGACCTCCTTCTGCTCCAATCACTTCTGCCACTCTTCTAAACATATTCTCTATCAATTTTGGGTATTTCTCTTTGGTGATTCCATCATACTCTGCTGTAACACTGTCTCATAGTTGGAATAGCCCCTACAGTGAATCTTGATATGCTACAAGTAATTTCTTGAGTGATTCTCAGGGGTATTCAATATGGTTGATGTCTTGGGTCTATGTTGAACATGATAGAATAGTAATATCATGGTTTGCAAGCTATTGGTGGCTTATTTATGTCGGAGATTTTTTACCGGCATCATAATGGTCACGCGTTACAATCAGGCTCAAAATGATTTTGACCCTCATTACGACCTCATTATGACGCCTTAAGCGGAGTTTGAATATCATGCTGATGCAATTCTGATTCGGATTACTGATATGACTTATACCTAGGCGAGGCGACACATGCTGCATCAACGGTTCTGACTCTGTACGCCTCTTTTTCGATTCCGACACTGTACGCCTCTTTTCCAGTCTCATTTGTCTTCTTTATTCTCAACTGAACTGAGCCCTGGACCGTCTTGTCACTTTGATTTATAATCTTATTCTCTCGCATACCATCGATAACAACAACTTTTGTTCACTCCCATCGTCTATCCGAAGTCTACAGTCAGTCCAAACGTCTTCCCTATCCAAAACTCGTCGTTCTTCTGCTCAACAATTCTTCCAAGCATATCCAATTTGTTTAAACGAAACATATCATCTCCTCAATCATTGTCTGTATTCCTGACGGGCTTTGACGCTTGGTCCTCGGTATGCACTCCGTTACTCGCAGCTTTACGCTCTCACTCTAATATTATATGATCACTATCAGCTTGCTCGTTGCTCGTTTGCTACTTGACATCAATGCCTAAGTCAAAACAACGAGCATCAGACCTTGTGACGTGTGATCGATGTGGAGTGAATGTGCGTGCGCGTGGGTTAGGATCCCATTCGAGGTCTTGCGCGAAGAAGGAACGGGAACGGCAGGAAGATGAGGAGTTTGTTAGCATAGTTCAGAAAGCCGAAAAGAAAGGTGAGCACTCGAATCAGTTGTCTTTCAATGATGTACTTGATAGATGGTTGATAATTTTTTTTACAGAACTTCGAAGGCAGCGTCGCAAAATTCGTAATAATTTACAACGTTTGGAGGATGCGCAATCATCTGCAGGTGAGCACTCATATTTTAACAATAGTACTATGGTTTAGAATTTTCTTCTCGCAACACAGTGAATGCCACCGCGATATGGGCCGCAGACTCAGACATTGGTACGTTTGATTCAATTTGATTAGTGTTATACTGAGACTAACAGTATCAGTTATGCGAGGGTCTTCACCTCGCCAATACCCTCCGGCGGACCCATTACCTGACTTCCACCAAACCGATCCTGGTCCCAATGAACCAGATCCTGGTCCCAACGAACCCGATCCTGGTCCCAACGAGCCCGATCCTGGTCCCAACGAACCCGATCCTGGTCCCAACGAACCCGATCCTGGTCCCAACGAGCCCGATCCTGGTCCCAACGAGTCCAATCCTGATCTCAATCAGCCTGCGCACGAGCTTGACGATATCAAAGTCGAGCATCATCCTCACAGCCAAATTCCTTCTACCGTGCATCGCTTCTCTGAGTTCTCTCGCAGCTGCCCAACAGAAGACTATGTACCTCGTAACGACTCACCATGGGAGCCATTCCGCACACGGCTTGATTTCGAAGTAGCAGAGATTGCACTCGAAGCTGCGATGACAAAGGATCAAACCAATCGCCTTATCAATCTCATACATCGATCTGCTAGTGGCAATGACACGTTCACACTGCATAATCATGATGAAGTCCACTCCCTCTGGGACCTTGCTTCGCAACGTTATACTAGAGTAAGTGTTGTCTCGTGTAGCTACTACTAGTACATTACCATAAGCTGATCATTAGTGCATAGTTTCAGAACGATGCAGTGTCTGTTCCCCTCGGAAATGAAGTGCGCGAATTCGACATGCACTACCGCCCTCTCTGGGATTGGGTCCTTGACTTGTTGCGAGACAAACGTCTCGCACCTCATTTTGTATTTGATGCTCAATGTCTCTCGAAATTCAACGGAGAAAGATTTGTACGTTTTATTGATGAACCATGGACTGCCGATGCGTTTTGGAAGGCACAAGTATGTTTCGACATTTGATCTATTGTTTGTTTCTTTAAATTAATAATATGCTACAAAACTGTTGTAATTGTAGTCGCAGCTTCCGCCCGATGCAAAACCACTAGCATTCATCCTCTATGCGGACAAGAGTAAACTATCGTCATTTGGGAGCCAAAAAGGCTATCCAATCATTGCGCGCATCGCTAACCTACCGGTTCATATTCGTAACAGTAATACTGCCCTAGGAGGTGGTCGTGTCGTTGGCTGGCTGCCCATTGTTAGTATACTGACAAGCTTGTTCAGTTCATAGTAATGCTGACTGCCATTATATTAATTCAGATTGTTGAGGATCAAGAACATGCGAAAAAGAAGAACTATGTAGACTTTAAAAATGCTGTCTGGCATACATCCTTCTACCAGCTTCTGGCCTCGGTTGCGAAGCACTCAAATACAGGCTATTGGTTTGAATGCGGAGACGGAATCCGACGTCATCTCTGGCCCCTCATTTTAATCTTAAGTGCCGATTACGAAGAACAGTAAGTCATACTAGTACTACAAGTTAACTATTGTGAGCTGCTCATGTACAAATTATAGATGTATCATGGCATTGATCCGTGGGCTTAAGGGAAAATTTCCGTGTCCAGTTTGTTTGGTTCCACAAGACGAGCAGTCCATTCTCCGTACCCATGAGCTGCGCACAAGCCACCAATCTGAAGACATACTCCGCACTGCAAGATCAAAGCCGTCTGAGAAGGAAAAAGAGGATCATCTAAAGGCTTTCTCGCTTCGAAACGTTGAGGTATGCATTTCCCTCCCAACTTACCCTTCCTCTTACAATGATTGACTTGTATTTCAAACAATTCACGACCTCATATGAAAAACTTCACTTCCTTCCCATTTTACCATTTCTGCTGTTATATCTATTACTATTGACAAGTTTGCTGATGTAATTCAATTGTTAGAATGTCTTCTCGAGAATCCTTCATGTCGATGTTCATCGTGCACTTTCTTTCGACCGCCTGCATACAAACGAGGAAGGATTATGGGGTGACCATTTGTGGAAGGAAGTAAAGTTTTGGATTTTGGACCTCGGGCGTGAAGCGGCTGTCAAACTCGATAAAAAGTATGTATTGTGGCTATAATACATTGACACTACTTCTGACTCAGTGTCTTAGCTTCGATGAACTTCCACGATGGCCTAATTTAACACATTTTTCATCTGTCGTCGCAGTTGATTTCACTGATGGTTCTGTTCTCGGTGATCTGTCCAAGGTTTGTCTGCACCATCATAAATGATTTTAGGTACTTACACAAACTTAGATGATCGTTTTTGCGGCACAGGATATCCTTACTTCATCCCACTGTAAACTGGGACAGTTACTTCTTCGTTGCATTCACTACTACGTCGAGTTTGATATTTATGTCTCATTAGAAGTACATACAGAGGATACAATCGCAGCTGGAAGGCTGGCACTGCAAAAGTTCTCAGAAATGATGGATGTAAGTTGTTCCGATGTTTTCGATGACAATTGTCTGACTTTTCATTAGGAATATATTGCACAATCGCACCCCGAAACCAACAAAAATTGGAACTTTCCAAAGAAACACTTGGTCTCGCATGCATTCGACGATATTCTAGCCAAAGGTGTGACACGTAACTACAGTACCAAGCCAAATGAAAAGATGCATGGCTCTTTACGAAAAATCTATCTTCAACGCACAAATTTCAAGAATGTTGCTTCTCAGGTTCGTTGCTTAACTATATTGTTATGCAGATTCAGACCAATAGTTTTTAATTGTTACAGATTCTACACTATGATGAATGGCTTCTAACTTCGACATCCATGCGCTCTGAACTCGACGAACTCGACAAGTACAATCAACGAGACACCTGTGACCCTGAGACCAACGAAGTACTGGATGACTCCGACGCTGGAACATCTAAATCTACTACTATTCACGCACATTTAGGTTCAAGGCAGGGTAATAACTCTTTTTCCGACATCATGCACTTGCATGGAACTGACAGGGCCTTCACCAACTTTCGGATGAAGCTAAACGACTTCTTAAATGGCTTCCTGCCACAGAATAACATTCCATTACCAGATGGAAGGCGCATTCACATGCAAGCAGAGGATACAGTACGTTTACTTTACATTCAATTGATAATACTGATGCATTTCTATCAGATAACAGAGTTTAGGTTCTTGCGGATCAATTATGAATCACTAGTCGACTGGTGCATGCACCGAGACCTACTCCAATGCAATCCAAAGTTCTATGGATCGCCGAGATACGACTGCGTCATCGTGAACACTGCAAACACACCATTCTTCGCTCGCCTCGTATACATGTTCACTTGTTTGGTTGGCGGCACTGAATTCCCTCTCGCACTTATTCAGCCATATGACGTCGGTATTGCTAATAGTCATCGGAGGCGGGATAATGATATGGGATTGTGGCGCGTGCGAGCCAAACCTCGCTCTTCTTCTGAAATCATTTCGGTTCGGTCAATCGTTCGGGGAGCTGCTCTCGCCAGAAATCCCGAAACAGATGGGGATTACTTCGTCATCCACACTGTGGACACTGACATGTTCCTTCGAGTCAAGGCACTCCAGGCTAGCGCTCAACCATTGTGAGGCAAGCTATTATCAGTATTGTTGGTACGTTTTTGTCTCCTCATCTTTCGCTTGCAACAAACTTTTATTGATATGCTCCTTCGCAGATCAATAACATGTACTAGTGGTAGTATTACAGATATTTCCCATGCCCTACCCACCCATTTGCACATTCCACGCAGTTCTGAACGACACCCAAAGACCTCGTCAGCCAAGATTCCCTGCAATTCCGGCAATTGAAGAATTTACGATGCGATGTGAGGACAGGCCTCTCGAGAACGACCTCACTTCTATTGTGATGCTCTATGATGGGCGCCTGAGCCTTATAATTGGCACTCTGATCGCATGCATCATGCGCAGGACGTATCTCTGGTGAAGAACTGGTACTTGAAGCACTTCCTCCTAACCAGCCAGTCAAAGTTTGTATATCACATCAGAAGTTGTTCGAGTTGCTCAAGTGTTTCGTCCTCAATGAGCTCAAGAGTCAACCTGAGAATGCGATGACTAAAAGAATCTCTTCCGGCAGTTGAAGGCGACGAAGTTCTTCCAGATAACTCCCACCACCGCCCATCCTTGATCTTGTTGTCTTGCTTCATCGCACTATCATGCCCAGTAGCTTAGAGGGCCGATGTATCAGACTTGAAAGTGAGTTACTCCATATCACCTTCGCATTCGTTTGGTGATCATCACACTCTATTTACAGTTGTCAGTAGAAAAACACCTTAAATTTCCCTTGTAGCGCATTCCCACAAGCATCTACGTATCCATCACTCTCGACTCGAGCAGGCACTGGAAATCAGCCATCGGAGTCTTACCATTTGACGAATCCATCTTACGTTCATCTTGTATTGTTGTATTGCCTCTAATTCATTGACTTAATATTGGTTTTCAGACACAGTATCAAGCGATGCTAGAACCGGCGCCTTACCCTCGAAGTCTAAGATCTTGTACCTACTGGGACCGCAGTATTCCTCGTATCAACACCATCTTCCAAAAGCATTGTTACACATTGTCAGCATATGGCTAGGTGGGCATCTCAGCGCCATGATGGAAAGTTCTGACAACTGAGCTACTGTGTTGAGGGTAGTGTTGCAATTGAACTGAGGTGACTTCGAAGTGAGTTCAATTCGGTTCAAAAATGAGGCTCGATTCATTTACACCTCATTGTAATAAGCATCAAATTAGGAACGAACAATCCTCAAACGTGTACTTTCAAGCTTCGGGCTGAGTCCATTACACTTCTATTTGTTCCACCTCGACCATCGAACCTAGAATGAACTCTCACCTCGATTCCGATCTGTTCAATTAGAGTATCTTGGAGCACACGCCCTTCAAATAAATTCCTCATGTGGGAGGCTCAGCTTGATCGGATAAGTATTTTCATGCACGGCAAGATGGCAAGCCCTCAACATTCACCGTTTTACAGACGTAAGTGACCTTGTTTTATCTGAATCGTAAGACTTGATCTGTCCGCATGATAGTGTGTAGACTTGCAACGTGTAATATCACACATTGACCTGCGTCGTGCTGCGATAATGATTATGTACGTCTTCATTGCGTGTAATTTACCATTCAATTTGACTTTTTCGGTCACAGCCTCATGCCCTCAATGAGCCGATCAGCAAACCTGGACCGCGTGTATGATTACATTGAGTTCACTCCGACACCACCCGACTTCAAGATTGCATAAAATAGCATCAACTGCGAGACGGCTTTGACTCGACACCCTGTGACCCACCCTCTCAGGTTCCAGCTCGTTGAGCATACTATTCCTCCCCGTTGCATAATAAATGTCTGACTCTGGCTCAAATCCAATATCCTCAAGTTCTGATTCAGGCTCAGACTTGGTGGATGAAGAACGGCCTGTGGCTCCACCGGGTGTTAACGCTTCTATCGAGCACTACCAAGAGGTACGCTGTTGCTTTCATTCAGATCATATATACTAAATTCTAACATATGCCTTGATACATTAGTATATTAAATACCTCCAGCTTCAACAAGGGCGGCTCCAGCAGCAGAATATGTCTCTGAATGAGAGCAACAACATTCTTGCTGTGCAACAGCTGAAACGTTCTCGCAAACGCCCATCATCCAGGGTACCATCTGTATCACAAGTATCTGTAGCGCCATCTGTGTCTTCTGCATCCTCCGTCGTAGCTTCTGACTCATCGAAGACGGGTGACATCGACTCGGACAAGCTTATTTTAAGCTTGGCCAAAAAGTATGCACTCACTACCGAGATGTTCCTCCCCGACAAGGTCATTTTTCAAACAGACTGTCCTGATCCTCTAGTCGATCTCTCGAATCCAAATCGTTATGCGAAGAGGTCTACAGAAAAGGATGCACTTGTTGCTGAACTCTATGCATCCATTGACCACGTGTTGCATGCTCGGATGCGAACAAATCTGTTCTTCAACCAGGTGCGTAGTTTTTCCTACCTCAAGTCATTAATATTATCATTATAAATTTAACCAAAACTTCATTTAGTTTGGGAGCGGAATGCAGCAAGCTCGCTCTTCATTCCTAAACAGCCTGCGTACCGTTGCAGGTGGCATCTTCAACATGCCTAATGAATATTTCGTTTCCAAATACGACCGTACTTCCCTCCGGCAGGTCACAGACTTGATTGGATGGGAAGCAGGCAAGGGAAAGATGTATGATATCTTCAAGGCGCCGATACTTTACCCTGACCACATCGTGAATGAGAAGAAAATTTTCAAAAATTGGATCGTCATCGCAAAGGTAGTCTACTCATCAATAACAGACCCAGCTACTCATATGTTGTTTCGAAGGTTATCAAGGTTGCGATATGTGGAAAGATGTCATTGTATTCCAAAGCGCGTGGCGGACCACCTTCCTATGCCAAGATATGGAAGCTTACAAGCTGCACTCCTGGCCTGATTGCATTTGGCATCACATCAGTAAGGTTTCAGTACTCTAAATTTATACTGAGCTGATACTCATCACGCCCTGTAGATCATATTCATCCTATCTCCGGACCAGGAATTTTCGGGCGATGGAGTTGGTGCTATTTCCTCGATCGCATATCACTCCGTCTTTCAGACAGTCAAGAAATTCTTCGTTGTTAAGTGGGCCCACCAGCGCATCAAATCTATTGTCGACGAAATCAATGGATATGTCTTCGGTAGTACTGTAAAGATGCAGCCATCCGATGACACTCAGTGTACTGTGGAGCGCGTCACTGAATCACTCGATCGCATTATGGCTGCGCTAGACGCCAGCGATTCAGACTCGAACGATGAGTCATTGGAATATGTCAACTTGCAAGAGCAGGCTAATAAAGATGTACACCTTGCCACTGTAGCCGCAGCGCCAACCATCGCAACCTTGCAACCTACTATGTTCACTGTCGACACTCCTCGACTTGAAGTTGCAGCCCAGGGCCTGCTGTCATTCCACAACCTTCTATCTCAACTCCACCTATTCCGACACCCATGGCACCGCATGCAGAGACTTCGGCCAATCCCCAGGATCAGAGTGAGGATGCATTACCAGCCGCTGGGCTTATTGGTGTTGCCAAATCTCAGGCAAAGACATCCAGGGGCAAGAAGAAACCTAAGTCGTCGGCCAATGATATCACAACTATTCGCCGCTCCTCACGTCACACAACAACATGAAATTAGAGTCCCCTACCTTGTAGTTGTGTTCCTAGTCTTACTATCAAGATCTGATCACACAATTCCTACAGACACAAGATTTTAGCTCCATTGTAATCTGAGAATGTTTAGGTGTCCTTCAACTCGGAATGCATGCATATACTAGCCAAACGCCCCCACATACCCATAATCGTGAACGGAGCACTGACGAGTGCGACACCTCGAAGTTTGGCGTTGATCTTCACGCTGGACGCCCCCACATACCCATAATCATGAACGGAGCGCTGACGAGCGCAACACCTTGAAGTTTGGCGTTTATCTTCATGCCAGACGCCCCCACATACCCATAATCATGAACGGAGCGCTGACGAGCGCGACACCTCGAAGTTTGGCGTTGATCTTCACGCTGGACGCCCCCACATACCCATAATCATGAACAGAGTGCTGATGAGCGCGACACCTCGAAGTTTGGTGTTGATCTTCACACCAGACACTACCACATACCCAGTTTGCGAATTCAGATGCGCCATATTGATAACCTTTCAGCTAGTTCCTAATTACCTTGTCTACAAGGTTGACACTCACAGCCGGAAAGATAAAGTTATGCGGCCGTGGGAAGCAATGGTCGATAAATTTACGATATTGTTACCTTGTATCACTGTAACTAGAACCAGTAACTCTCAACATCCTCCACGGTCTGCTTTACTTTCCACTGTCGCTCTGTCTCCTTCTCCTTCTTGGCCAACATTTATGGTCTGAATCGACCTGCATTCTTCTGGCGCTACCCAAATGTCCGTCTATTAATTTTTCAACCTACAATAAAACATGCTGACTCATTTTATTCGAAGTTACGACTAAGAACATCAACAAGAACAAGGCCGCTGGAATCTGCTAAGGACGGAATGATCACCCACCGGCTCCTGAACCCTCGCGATGTGTTTCGACCCGCAGGTCGGGGGTGAACACTCAACAGGTGATCACCCAGGAGGTACAACGTGTTCAGGCTGCTCAATGAACTTCTTTCCATCTCGTCTTAATAAAGACCGAGACACAGGAGGAAGTTCAAGACGATCGTAATGTCTTCTGATGCTCCCAAGACTGACATAGACGAGCAAACGCAACACGAGGCAGAAGTGGCGGCTGTTCTGGATGTCGATGTGGCACCTGAAGCTGACCTCGATGGTGACGAGTGGGGCGATCTCGATGCTGAGGATTTCGATGATCCATTGATGGTCAGCAAATATGTTGTCGAGATCTTCAAGTACATGAAGCAGACCAAGGTACGAGTCTCCGTATATTTTTATCATTCCGTTGTAATTAATGAAACGCCTTAAGCTTATAACACTTCCTCATCCGAAATACATGGCATTGCAAAAAGAGCTGGCCTGGTCGATGCGTGGAATCCTTCTCAATTGGCTGGTGTAAGTACATGCACGGTTCTGATTACTTCATGCGACTGTGTTCCTCTGCGTGAACATTGTCGAAAGGTTCTTGTCAGCACGTGTCGTCTCCCTCGCTAAACTTCAACTCATGGGCATTACGTCGTGTCTCCATTGCTTCCAAAGGTTGAAGAAATTGTTGCACCATCCATCTCGCACTTCCTTCACTGCGTGGACTCATCCTACACTGAATCCGATATCCTTCTCGCAGAGCGGTACATCCTGAAAACAATCGATTGGAACTTGAGCTATCCGAACCCGATGCACTTCCTGCGCCGCACACGCAAATCGGATGATCACAATGGGGAAACACTGGAGTGGCGGTTGCTGGCCACGCCACCTTCCCTGCTGCTGCTGCGCCGACCTGGTTGGGACACCTCATTCTCGGCAACAATAAATGGGTAAGTAGTGTAATATGTGCCATGTTCGATGTTGTTGATAACATTTCCGGGTTCTAGACTCTGAATCATGCCCAGAGCGATGGGAAGCGGGCGAGCGGGTGTCTCTTAGCTAAGTTACCGGCCATTCATGCAAGACAAGGGAGTAGCTAGCGGCAGCAGGCTTGGACGGTGATGAGTATGAAACTTCGTAAGTCCGGTGACGTGCATTATCATTCAATATTCCTTCATCACAACTATCATTGTCCCAACACAACTGACGGTCAGCAGCAAACAGAGCAAGAAGGATGGGGGAGAGGGTCATTTTTACCGATATCATAATGTAGATTAGTATTTGTATTGACATCTCGCAATAACAATTGATATGCAATGCATGCTCATCACCACCTCGTTAGGATGGCATTAAGACTCGGTTGATATGCATATTAAAACTCAGTGGGTACCATTAAAATGGGCATTGATACTTGGTGGGTACATTAAAATGCCTATTATGTCATCATGTCGATGTGCACTTAAATGGGTCAAAATGCTGACTGTTTGATCATAATGTATTATAATAGGTCCGTGTCGTTAGGCCATTTTAATGGATTAAAATGCCGTAAAAAAAGTTCCGACATAGAGGTATACTTAGGGTCATTGTCTTATCACAAAACAGTATCTTCTTCATTAACTCATAACTTCTGCATGCTTCTTAGCAGACACTCCTGTCAAATGAGTATTTACTACTCTGTATTCATCCTCCCCTTTGCTTCATAGAATATTCCCACTCCATTAGTCCTATACCATCAAGTTTTGTCTTGAAACTTAAGGTGTTTATTTAACTTTTCTTTATCTTAATGATTGTCTTATCTATTTTAATATAAATTCCTTGCCATATGATTTCATCCTATTGATTTTAACCTTATCTAACTAGATAAACCTCTTTCAGCTATTAGCAGTCTGATATTTGTACTTGAAAGTAGCATCTTGTCTTTTATTTTTATAGGTTGGAGACAGAGGAATCTGTTTTTCTTGATTATAGCTTTAAGATAGGCTGTCTTGAGAGTCTGTCTGACTATTTGAGTAGAGATAGTCATAGGAATGATGGAAATAATCAATTTAATCACTTTATTAGCATCAGCAGTCTTTCCAATTAGAATATAGTGATTAAGAGATCTTAAGTCTTATAGAGCAACCTTCTAGATTGGCTACCAAATAACTTAAAGACCATAATATTACTATTCTATCATGTTCAACATAGACCCAAGACATCAACCATATTGAATACCCCTGAGAATCACTCAAGAAATTACTTGTAGCATATCAAGATTCACTGTAGGGGCTATTCCAACTATGAGACAGTGTTACAGCAGAGTATGATGGAATCACCAAAGAGAAATACCCAAAATTGATAGAGAATATGTTTAGAAGAGTGGCAGAAGTGATTGGAGCAGAAGGAGGTCACACACAGTACTAGAATTATAGAGATTACATTAGTAAAACTCAAAGTCAAAAAAGTGTCCCAATGAGTCATCAAATTAAAATACTCATATCTTCACATAATGTCATTAGTTTCCCACGGTATAGGGAACCGAAATGAAGCTGAGATGCAGACCTTTCCGACATCTCCCTATAGCTTAGTCATATTCCCACGTCTCAACACATGATATAGCAATTACATGAAAAGCTACAAACATTGGGACACTTTTTTGAGCCACTGTATATCAATCCAGTTTAAAGCCTCACCATTGAGTAAGAAGCTCTGATGAATCCAAGTGTTGCACATCGAAGACTGCATGATAAAGGTAAAATACACCTTGTTGTATCAATTGAAGGTAGATTCTTTTTGCATCAAGTATAGGTCCTTGGATGAAATATTGGTGATATAATTCTATAACTTGGCAAACAGCCATGCATCGTTCACAATCAGTGGGGAAAAACCACATGACATAGATGGTGAGAGCAATGGCTAGGGTTCTAAGAATGATGTATAGTAAGAGCAACATAGCAGGACTATGAGATGACTTACCTCCTCCTACTATGGGCCATAGCATTATATAGTTCATTCAATATCAAACTTACATAAGATGTTCAAATGTGAGTTATTGGTTAGAATTGTTGGCTGAGGGTGCAGATACAAATAATGTGTCTTCATTTAGACTCCAGCCTGGTTTTAATGCATGATGGATCAAAATTTCTGAAAGGCGGTCAAGAGCGTGAGGAGCGTTGATCCGGACATCAAGCATCTCAGACTCAGGGCAAATGATGGTGTGCACCATGAGACCAATAGCATCCTTGGTCAGCAAACATGCAGAAATAGATTTTGATTCTCAAAATTGAGATGTCTACCCCACAGCTCATTTGCCATCATGGAACAACAGAATACCTGATTATGGTGTCGCTCGTAGGGTTGGGATCATTAATGGAGAGGATGGTGGTGTAGAAACAACAATACTGAGAGGAACAAATGATGCTCCTGACTGTATCTGTAAATAGTTGTAAGGTCGCGTGTTGCCTAGTCTGCATTACTTGAGGAGACAAGTGCGTTCGACCCTAAAGGGGAAGCGAGTGCAGCAAAGATCTAGAGGTATGCACTCAAGCGAAGTGCGAGAAAGCGCAGGTGCGCGCGAGGGGTGGGAACATGCGCGCATATTGGCGCGAAGTGTGTGAAAGTGCGCACGCATATGCAGAAATGATAGAGAGACTAGACTTAAGTGATAATATGATGCAAGAGATGTCAGAGTGCGAGATGTAAAGGAATAGAGTTCTACTATGTTCTGCTAAGTAGTAAGTAAGTAGTAACAGGTAATTGGGAGGTAAAGTAAGTGGTAAAAATGGAAAGTAAGTTTTACTATGTACTGCTGGCGCTTATATAGCGTGCCTAAGCGCTGTAATGCAGAGCTGAAGCGCTACCAAGTAGGTATGTAAAGATATATATGAGTGAGAATCCATGATAAAAATAAAGACGGAACAATATGCAAATGAGAGAAATAGAAATATACGCACTAGGGGGCTTGGTGGACAGTGGATGGGTGCTTCTGGATGGCTGGCACTATAGGGTGCTCAAGCGCGGGAACGCGCACGTGTGTATACATCATGAAGCGCAGGAATGGTGCGTGCATGGTGCGCGTTGCGCGGGAAAGCTGCGCCTCATAGTGGAATACCTGCGGATAGCACACAGAGTGATGCTGCAAGTTTGTGCTATGTACTCCTAGTGTAAAGCATCATATCACACCATGAGAGGCATGATTCTCTACAGCAGCGAACTCATTGAGGGCAATGGGAACAATGGGAACAATGCCAGGTTTTGCCTAGAGGGTGGTGACAATGAGTTCAATGTCTGAGTCAGTGCATTTTCATTGTCGCTTCAGTGGGTTTCAGCTCATGAGGGAGGCCATTCTAAGAGCTCTATCAAGATGCTCAAACAACACGAAATTCTCAAAGGCTCAACTCTTTCCAATTGAGTCTGTCGACCCAACACAACCACAATGGAGAGATAAGTTATAAAGTAAGCTTTCCGCCACCTCTCTCTGTGGGATGCCCATGCTCATCTGACATGCTACTCAGTACTCTCAAACTTCTTTCCACTACAATGTTGTTGCTAGTCAATGCGCTTGGCCTTGGTTGGTGGATGGTTGGCTGGCAAGCAAGTGGGACTACTGCAGTCCACAGCTGGTCAAGCTCTCCTGAGGGTGTTCTGGCCAGTGAAATTTGGGGTATTGACAAAACAGTAGAGAGCTTGTGCCAATCAGTTCAGTCACTCAAGTTTCAAATCAAACAGCATCAACTTCGCTGCAATTCCCTTCTGCTGCTCTTCTCTTTACCACTGGAAATCCTCGAGTACATCTTCTTGCTTGTAGTTCCATTTCCTGGACAACGTGAATTATTATTCATCCTGGGACTTGTTTGCAGCTTGTAGCAGGACATTATATATCGCAGTGGAAGACTATGGAGTAACATGCTAGATGTTAATGATGACGTTAATGATGACCGATTTTGGATAAAAACAATCTTGGAGCGATCTGCCCAAGTTCCTTTTGGTGTCCATGCCCAAATTATGGCACCCTATGATGAAGATGCCACTCATAATTTCATCATGGTTTTATAGGAGCTGCCAGATATTGATATCATTGATATTCGAGCTCATTGCCACTTCATTCAATCTTTGGTCCCACATCTCAATCTGCATTTGCCCATCCTCCACACCTTCTCTCTAAGTGCAGTATGTGGATCTTCAATAAATCATCTCATCCTTCCCTTATCACTGTTTGCTTCATCTTCTCCCAACATCAGGCATTTTGAAGTTCGAAACTGTGATTTCAATGTTGGGATGCTCAAGGGGTGGCATCTGACGCACCTTGTGATCTATGACTTATTGATCATGGCAAGGCTGCTCTACAATGAGCTTCTCGACACTCTCAAGTGCCTACCTTTTCTCCAGGAGCTCATACTCTCTGGAGTCATTTCCAGTCATTTGACATTGCTCTTGAGGTATGCGCAGGTTCACTTGGTCCACCTGCAGCACTTGCATTTGCAAGGAGACTTTGCTGCCTGCCTCAATTTCCTACCTTGGGTGGTTTTTCCTGCAACAGTGTCACTCAACCTCTTATGGAGTGCTTCAACCGAAATTGCACTCCCATTGATCAACAGCAGTCTTATGAAACAAGCACTCGAGCACCAGCTAAAGGTGTCTGAGTGCCATGTTCTAGAATTCTCTGCACTTGCACATGAGGTTGAATTTCTTTTTAGCCATGACATGTGCACTCAAGTTTTGCACTTCAAATATGACATCCCCAACTCCACCACCACTCAAACAATACCAGACATTCATGACATTATTGTTGCCCTGTTCGAATTGCCCTTCCCACTTGACAACATTGCTACATGGTTCATAGACATGTCCTCACTCAGCCCTTTGTCGCAGCCAGCCTGGTTCCACATTATGTCTAAGTTCCAAGTCCTTCAGGTGCTGACATGTTATCTGGTACCTCCAGGATTACTTGGTTGCCTTGCTGATAATGCTGCAAG